AACAACGAGAAACATTCTGCCTCTTTGAAGAAAAGTGTATTTTGTTTTGTCTTTGAAACAACTCAGTAGCAGCCGTAAGTTAAAAACGACAGCGGTTAGTTCCAAAAATACAAGGAAGATCATAAATATCAAACCCATGATGTACGAAAAAATAAAAGAAATTGTAGGTGCCCAGCTTAACAGATCGCGTGCCAGGGATTGGGGCTGTTTTGATGTCAACATCTAGCTGGTTTTTCTATACGTGGACAAAGCTATTTGACTTACATTGTCTAATTTAAAGACAGGTCGTCTTTTGCATGATTTTCCTGCACGAGCAATTTCTCAGCAGAATGTTTTGTAAAGGAACAAACAAACAAAACAAAATTTTTGTTTTGGTTTGTTTTGATGTAAGTTTTAAACGAATGTTATTTGGATTTCTCATTTCTCTGCAGGATTGAAATTCAACGAGTACAACAGGTACTGATTGTTAGGAAATCTTTATGGCATGCCCTATCTTGATATTATACCAGTGTCGAGAGAAACAGCTCGATTTTTCTACCGAGAAACTTAATCATATTATTTCTTGTAGCGGAGCTGAAGAAAGTGTTTCCAAGGCTACAATCATAATACGATTTGTTACATATATATCACAACGAAGATCTTAGAGGGAGCAATGCAAAACAAATGGAAGTGTTTCTGATAAATGATATGAAAGCGCAAAATGGAATTATGCTTAATACTTCACACCACCATCACGCCACTTTCAATCACGCTCTATCCTCGTGCAAGGCGGTTGTGACGGAAAACAATTAAAGGTCCAACCTCGTTCCCAGGGTCTTTCACCTTCCCACCGCTCTCTCGCTCCACTGAGGGGGCGGGAAGATGAGAGACCCTTGCTGGGAACGCAGTTGTGCAGCGTCACCCTCTGAAATCATAACAGTATTTTCAGTATAGCGAGCTCAGAGACAATGGAGGAGAAACAGTTTTATTTTTGGATCTCAAGGAACGTGGAAATGATTCAAGTTATGTTATGGCCGACGAAAGGCTAATGCTCGAATTTACCCGGTTACGAGATATATGTTTCGGAATTTTCAAGCAAACTCTTTGAGCATCACGCTTGAAATTTCATTGGCAAAGTTTAAACCTTTGCAGCCTAACATCAGGATACATATTCTCCTTACTGTTCTCTATACATTTCTTAAGGTGCTGACAAGGAGAATTTGTTTAACAATCAAGAGCTTCTTTAGCTGGTGATCATTTCCTTTATTCTCCTGACCTCAAGTGTGATTCAGGGGTGATTTTGCAAGGAGAAATTAGATACTAGTCACTCTTAGGTGCGAAAGGGTTAAGATGTGAGTAAGTCTGCCCCTCCATCAAATTCCCAGCGTTCACCGCGCTGCTATGTTTATACGAGGAAAATTGTCAAATACTTGCGAGAGGATTGTGGCTGCAAGAATACATTATGGTACAGAAGGGGAGATATCAATACGTTGGCTGAGATACGTGAATTTCATTTAAGTTATTTTTAGCTTGGAATGGGATGCATAGTGGTTTTCTTAATGTAGTTTTTTACTGTCGAAGTCAGTTTAATGTAAAATGAAAAAACCCCATCACTTTTTACCAATACATCAATCTTATTCACAGGCGACCAAGGCTCACTGATTTTTATTTTCCGTGAGAAAAAAAACCATATTCGAACCTAAAAGGTGATGCGTGACATATTCGTTTCCGAACAATGCAATTAAATGAAATGCGAAGCGATACAGAGGTAATTTATCGTTGCAAGGATGAGATGAAATGTAGTGGAAAATGACACATCTCATAAATATTTCTATTATCGTTAAACCATCGAAATACATTAGTTACAGTTTTCCCCTCCAATTCTGAGTCCCAGTCCAATACTCTGTACTTACTCTTTGCCCGAAAATTACGCCCGCGTGGAGCGGATGGGGGAATCTCCCTATGACCCTCACTAGACCCTTGCTAGGAGGTGCCCCCCTAAGTCAGCGCTTCGAAGCTCATTTCTGTTGCCGTTTCCTTTAATATTGGACGGGGCAACAGAAGGACGGGGGGAGGAGGTGTGACTATTTCCCTTCGCATGCGCTGGCCTCGTCTCCGGCACCTTCGACTCCTGTTCCTCGCCCTTCACTAGAAAACGGTACAGATCAGTGACAAACGGCGGAATATTCTTTGTGCTGCATTCCCCCACTGCTTCCTGACCTTACGTTACAGCCGCTTCCTGTACTTTCCCGTTCTGCCTCCTAACCCATATCCCCCCTTTCCATCAGCTGAGGTCCCGCTCCTTCCCCCCTATAATTCACTCCTTATTACCAAAGTTATTAAAATAAAGCGAGATATTTTTTTTTCCAGTGAAGGGCAAAGGCTTCCCCATAACTCAGTGCGCTTAAAGGTGGTTATTTTCCTTGCAGGGACTATCTAATAATCGTCCCAGACCCTATTTTGACTGAGCTGTACAATGGAAAATAAATTGCCGATTCACTTTAAGGTCCGGTAGTACGGGGAACATTTTTCTTAAACTTGTCTTGCAACATTGTTGCATTGCAAGTTGAAATCCTTTGTTGAAAATTTGTTGCAGAAAGTAGAACTCGAGTCTACTTTGCGCAACACGTTACTTCAACTTGCAACGCTATATTTTGTTGCGAGACAAGTTGGTCACGAACGTGGTAATACGCGCAACAAAGGGTTTCAACTTGCA